TATAAATATAAACTATAAATATAAAATATAAATGATATATGGACCAGACTGTAATGACAAAAAATATGAAAAATATAAAGCAAAATGCAAAATGCTCTATTCGTTGCAAAGTACAACCCTATGAGGGAATTAGAATTGTAAATTGTAGATCTGTAAAGGTAAACGGGTTCTCTGTAAATATTGATCTCATGGCCTTATTGATTAAATCCACAGGGATAATTACTGCCTCTACTGGTCAGTACACGACACAGCAAGGGCAGAAATATGGGGGACAGTAGGAGTCAGGTGACAGAGAGAGAGAGAGAGGGAGAGAGAGAGAGAGAGAGGGAGAGAGAGAGAGAGAGAGAGAGAGAGGAGAGAGCTAAATTAGAGGTTAATACTGAAGTGTCCGATGCTCCCTCACAAGCTATAGCACAAAGCACACTCTAGACAAACGGCAGTAAAACCATCATTTCTAACGATATGCATTGATATAGCCCAAACTACCTGAGATCTTAAGAACCCAACCTCAGAAAATCAAATCAAATAACTAAGTCCCCCAGTTGATTTTATTTTATACATATATATGTTCATCTACTTAGCTAGGTTTTTTCCCAAAATCACAATTATTTCAAGGTTTTGTTTTGTTTTGAATTTTGAGACAGGTCAGAGTGTAGCCAGGCTGCCCACATCTTGCCGTCCTCTTGGTTTAGCCTCCTGGTTGCTACTATTATAGATATGCACCAGATTGTTTGGCAATTTTCAATGTTAACATGGAGGAATTTCTTAATTACTTTTGCTGTTTTTTCTCAGTTGTTCCAGGTCAGTATTCCAAACTTTTAAAAAAATTCTCAAGCACATCGAAAAGCCTGTCTTATTCAGTTTACCTCCATCTTGTCTTAATTCCACTAATCATCATCAAAATAGCTAATTTGATGCTGTTACGGACCAAGCACTACTCTAAATGTTATACTTCTTTTTAACCCTCAGAATAGGCCTACAGAATGCTTATGATTGTATCATTACTGCCAAAAATAGTTTAGGCAAGCATCAGAGAAAGAAGCAATCCCAGGCTGATTGCCAACTCCCATTGACCCAGTGCCAACCCCCATTCTCGCAGCCACTACCCAGTGTCACGTTCTAATCCCTGCACTGATGCCACCTTCATCAGCACCACCACCTCTCATAATTCTGATAATGAATGTCTCATCTGTGGACAGAGCCCTGGACCACTTACTAGAGAGTTCTTTCTCAGTAAACATTAACCATTGATTCAGGCTCATGCACTGTCTGACTCATATAGGAGCCAGTTCACGTTAAAAGACCACTAGCTACATAAACCACACCACTTTATTCACAAAATAGCATGTCTATCGAAATGTTTTGCAGTTCTGAAAAATAAAGTGCCCATGATATTCTCTTTATCTGCTAGTGTCTGCATTCCTCGCCAATTATTTTCTTTTTAAGGCATGTCCTTGGGCTGGAGAGAGAGCTCAGTTGGTAAAGTGCTTGGCTACATATGCTTACAAACCTGAGTTTGGTCCTCAGTGCCCAGGTAAAAGCCAGGCATGCCTCCCTATGCCTCTGTAATTCTGATACAGATGGTGAAGGCAGGTGGATCCCAGGGCTCGGTGCCTGGATAATTTAGTCGAAACAGTGAGCTCCGGGTTAAGTAAAGAAACTCTGTCTCAGAAAATGAAGCAGAAAATTGGACTAAAGAAGCTGACATGCCAGTGTCAACCTCTGGTCTCCACATGCACAGACAAGTACACACACCCACACCTACACACACACACACACACACACGTGCGCGCACACACACATTTCAGACAAGTTTCCTCCTACACCTTATCATCTTTCTCATTAAAGTATGCACTACACTATAGCTAGTGTGTTCTAAATGTGGAACCTTCCCTTTATCAGATAGCTCATGGGTCTCTCATTTTCTAGGGAACTGTTCTAATCTCAGTTCCAGAAATCCCCAAAACCTTAAGAAATCAATACTTCTACTTTAGATTATATAAATATTGTATATATGTGCATTTCTCAAGATTTTCATATATATTCTCAAAAGAGAGTATCTGTTTTCACATATAAAATTTCCCAAAATAGTTGTATAAAATGCTTCCTCACTTAATTCCTAACCATCCATTCACTTTTGTTTGGTTTTGTTTTTTTTCTCTCATACCATTCTTTTAAAGCATTTGTTGACTTACTCTATTTGGCTATAAACTTTCTGTTTTAGTACCTCACCAAACTCCCAAGTTCCGGTCACGTGGGAATTATGACCTTGCCGTCATGGTAACAGCCTAACCCCTCTCCACTCACCCACTTGTTGCCATCAGCTGGGGAAGCCATTGTCCTCCAGGATCACTCTATAAATGTCTGAGCTAATGAGGAAACAGAGGAATTGAGCAACACTATTATCAAATTGTGTCTTCTGTTCACTGTTTCATTTTTCACAGACGTGTGTAAACATCGCCTTTCTTGGGCTAACAGTGGGTGATGGCACAGGTTCCTAAGGAAAGGTTGGTATAACCTTGGTTCTGTTTGAGAAAGAGTGGAGCTGCACAAAAGTAACTCATTCCTAATTCCTTTCTTTAAAAGTCAGCAACCCCATAGTTTAAGATATGCACACTCCTATTGACTTCAATTGTTTTCTTGCCCAATATGACCCCTAATTACCCAAGGGAACAAGATAATATAGTCCTCAGAACCTAAATTTTGAATCCACACATTCTTCAGTATCAATCTTAAAATTCTTCATTATCAACTAGGCAAGACTGAGAATATTTTTTGATAATTGATATTTTTAATATTCTTTGACAATGAGTTCTATGTCGATTGGTTACTGTTACTGTGACCAAATATTTAAGGTATTCACCTTAGGGGCTAGAGAGATGGCTCAGTGGTTAAGAGCACAAGCTGCTTCTTCCAGAGGACCCAGTTCAATTCCCAACTCCCACAGGGCAGCTCACAAATGTCTGAAACTCCAGCTTCATGGGATCTGACACCCTCACACAGACATACATGCAGGCAAAACACCAATACACATAAAATAAAAATAAATAAATTTTTATAAAAGATATTCAACTTAAAGAAAAGTTTATTTGGAGTCGTCACAGGTTCTTGGGCCTGTGTCCTAGGCTATGGTGGTATAGTATATAATGTCAGAAATGTATATATAATAGAGGAGACATGTCTCCCTCACGGGGACCAGAAAGCAAAGAGTTATACAGGAAAGGGTTAAAGTCCCCATATCTCCTTCAAGAGCGTACTGCCTAAGTCTTAAATTCTTTCCATGTGACCCCCATAACCTAGATGTTCCACCACCTCCTAGCAGCGCTGCAGACTGGAAGTCATGCGTGTAACACATAGGTGGTCTGCTAAGTGAATATCATGCTTATTACTTACGTAGGGCACATACTAATGGTGAGTAAACAATGACGGCAAAGGTCAGTGCTGGTGTGAATGGTAATGGTGGTGGTGGTGGGTATGCTGTTGAGTATGAGAACAGCAATAACTGCACACTGAACTCCAGGGGAACAGAGACCATGTCTAACTCATCTTGAGCATCCTCAACATCTACACTAGGGCATGATACAGGATACTAACAAAGAGATGTTAAATTGGTGACCTACATGGGTTGGTGAGATGACTCAGTGGTTAAACGCACTGGCTGCTCTTCCAGAGGTCCTGAGTTCAATCCCAGCCATCACATGGGTGGCTCACAACCATCCATAATAGAATCTGATGCCCTCTTCCGACCTACATGTCAGGTGTACATGCAGAGCACTCGTATGTAAAATATAAATAAAATTTTTACAAAAATGATGACCTATTACCAAGTACAAGATAGTAAGAACTGAATTAAGATAGAAAAGGCTGGGGGTGGGGTAGTGTGATGAACTAGAATGAACAGGAAAGGTTATGTTGAGGAGGAAGACATATAAAGGATGGGTTACCCCAATGCGTGTAACGTATGCCAGAAGAGAAGAGGAATAAACGTCTTTGTTTGATAGAAAGGTGATGCAGCAAGCATGGGACATAGATTCCATGTTCAGTACCAAGCCTAGAAACTAATAACCAAAGCAGCAAACGAAACTCTATGCTTTTGAAGCTCCATGTTGCAGCAACTCTTTGTAGTTAAGTCTTTCTTGCAGACAAACCACGCAGCGTGATAATAAAAATTACAGGCTTTACAGGAAAGCAAATCTAAATTTGGATTCTTGTTTTCACTGCTTCAATAAATGTATCATCTTGGATACGGCCCTTCAAACTTTGGCTTCCTCTTCTGTAAAATGTGACTCTCCCTGCCTATCCTGCAGGCTGAGGGGAAGGTAGGGTGAAGCACTTCGCGGGAGGCATGCCTTGCCTCTGCTGGCACACAGTAGGTGTGCAATGAACACAGAGATACTGATCGAGGTGATCAAGTGAGCAGCGCCTTCTTTTGTCAGTGCCAAGTCAACAGCGTAGCTTTGGTAGCATTTGTTTTAGGCAAGGAGCTTGACCTTGCTAAACCGAGAGCAACTGGGCTTTTTAAAATGGAAATGACAAAAAAAAAAAGGGCAGAAAAGAGCCGTGAGCTGTGTGACACCACATGACTCATCTCTTCCTAATGAAGGAATGCAGGGTTTCAGGCTGACTACTTGATTGGGTTGGAAGGCTCTAGCGGGGAAATAGGAAAGTCTCTCCTTTAACCACCTGTTGCACAAGTACAAACTGTCATGCAAATACTGCCCTATGCTTTATGCAGGACATGTAGAAACCCCTATGGCTTTGTTCTTTTCTTGGATTTTTCTCCCATAGCCAAGTAGCTGAATCGATGTCAAGTGTTTGTCTATAAACCGGCCAAATATTTCCTTTTAAATACTTGTGCTGTGTTGAACACACAGCTACTGTGTGATCGTGGTTTTTTTTGGGAAAAGACCCTGCCCCCAGTCCTTTAGCGAGCTCTAGTTCAATGTGCCCGTGCCTTTTACGTAAGTCACAAATAAATGGAAGCATTCCATCTCCTACAGGTTCTTCCAGGGGACCCAGTCCTCTGACTATGGGGGCTCAGGACACCCTCCCAGTTGCTGCAGCATTCACAGAAACCGTCAACGCCTACTTCAAAGGAGCAGACCCGAGCAAGTAAGCCTGGGTGGGATAAGGACCCCTATCCTCTTGAAAACCTGTCCTGTCTAGTGGGTGGGGGTGGGGGGGGACACTCTAAACATAACCATCCTACCTGCTGAGAAGGAGTTCTGTGGATCAGATCCATAAATTCTACAAATTCTCTGAAATCACTTTAAAGACACCACCACATCTTATCTGTGCATTTTCCCCCCACAGAGAAATATACAGTTTTCCACACTCAGTAACAAAGGGAATCCTGACTCCGAACCACTGACAGGAACCATTAATCCACCCGGCACACCAAACACCCGCAGCACACTACTGTCAAGTGTATCCACTGATGTCATTATGGGCCTGAGTTCCAGCAATAAACAGAAGAAAACCTAAGTGAGGGATGAAGTGCTCTTGGTTCTTTTTTCACTCGCAAGAATGGGGCTTAGAAAATCTTACAATGTAGAATGAGAGGAATGAGAACTAACTGATATGCTTACAGACTGTATTACAGATCTTTTTCAGCAGGAAGAGTTAAGTATCATTGGAGCAACACACTTTAGGTGGCAATTCGCATGACAAAGTTTGAGTCCTCTATCCCCTTCAGAAACCCTGTTTCCAAAAGTCTAGCTCTACTAATGCTATTCTGGAAAACCAATAGAGTTAGTAGCTCCAGCCCAAAGCATCCTACCCAGTCACCGGGTCTTTCATTCTTCCTCACCGTCATGGCTCCCTCAACAACAGCCAGGCTTCATTCCAGGTCTATAATAGTATAGAGAAACAAATACTGAGCCCAGGGTTGATCCAGAGAGGCACGACATGAGAGAAAGAGAAGGAGTGGGGAAAGAGGCTCGTATGGAACACATAAACACTGTCAGCTGAAGCTGATGAACCCTTATTACATACATGTTAGTCCTGTAGGCTTGCTAGAACAAAGAATGTGTACAACTGCCTGTTATGTGAGTTACAAGAACCACCCACCACTGGCTGATCAATGCCTTGAACACTGAGGCTGATAAGAACTGAGAAAAACAGAAGCATACTGAGAAAAACAGAAGCATATGTACTTAAAAAATTAGTAGGAATATGGAGAGAACACACACTATGGTGGAAATCAGGGGAGAATCGGGCGCTGGGTCCTAGTCTGCTTGCTTCCTGACTGCCTTTCATTCCTTCACTTACTGATGTATTTAGAGATGTAACTGACCTTCCTAGCTTCCACCTTGGCACCTCTGCAGTCCTTCCCCGTCATAGCACATCACTCCTAGGTGCTCTGTGCTCTGTTGGTGGAGAGCTTCCAGCCACACCCAGCTGCCCTCTCTCTGGTCTAGCCTGGCTTACTCCCTCCTGCCTTGTCTACATCCCTCCTCCTTCAGTTCTCTCCACTTAAGCCACGTTAGCCTGTAGCTTTCTCTCTTTTATGACCCATTCTACCACTCGGTCTCTCTCTCTGTCTCTCTCTGTCTCTATCTGTCTCTGTCTATCTCTCCCTCTGTCTCTGTCTCTGTCTCTGTCTCTGTCTCTCTCTGTCTCTCTCTCTCTCTCTCTCTCTCTCTCTTTTCTCCCATGCACCTGAGCAGTTTGTCCCCTCACTTTGGTTCCTCAGCAAATTTATCAAACAGAACTTCTCACCCAGTCTGTAGAAAGCAGCACCCCTCCCCTTCCACCCTTGCCAACCTCCATACATGGCTTCCTCCTCCTCCATAGCCCTAACACCTCATACATGCATTTTTCCCTGTTGTCCATTGTCTGTCTTTCCCTGTCCACTGACACGGAAGCTCCAACAGCTGGATTTTAATCCTTTCTCCATCGTGGTGTCTTCGGCACCAGAGCAAGGCTCAAAGTGCTCAAGAGGTAGTAGCTAAAGGACTCCGACTGACTCCCTCACCTGAGTTCTACAGAACGTTACTCCGCACTGACCATTGTACCAGACATGAGGCACACAGGCAAAGACATCTGGGATGGGAAATAATACTTGTGTGTGGAAATAACCCAAAGTCTGGTGGAAGAGATGTAAATAGGATGCAGTGGAAGACAAGAAGTCCTTAATATTTTGACCACACAATTTCCTTCAAAAGGGGGAGGGGGGCAAAGTAAGGAGGCTGAATGATGACGATAGGAAAGAAAGGGCCATTTGAACTGAGTGATGTAATGGGGGGGAAGATTTTTCATAGTACACAATCCCAAGTAGGTTGATTAATTAAGCATCCCAAGCTCCTGCACTCAGAGCAGGCTCACAAAAGGGCCGTGTGCTCAGTGCCCACAGCACAGTACGGTCACGTGGGAGAAATGCTCTTCTCTTGCCCTCCACCAGTTCAGATGCACACAGCTCTTGCCGAGAGCTGGCTGCCGCTGATTCTGTAGCCTAGCTAGAGAAGCCATGGCTGCCTGTGGCAAAGGGAGGACCCAATTTGTAAGTCACAGGCCTCTTGATGTGGAAATGTCTTCTTTCTTTATAAATGCTTCATTTGTGAGGATTTACGTGGCTCCGGGCTTAATTCAGAAATTGGTTTTTAATTCCATTTCACATTATTATAAGTTTCCAAAGGCCAGGTTCACATGACACACTGACATTCACATCAAATGCTGAGAGGAACAGTCACTAAGGTAAAAAACGTTTTCCTTGAGAAAGAAAACCACATCCGACAAACATGGAATTTAGTAATCCATAAGTACAATAGTTTTAAATTTTCATTTTGTGAGAATGGGGACTATTAGATAAGCTCCTTCCACTGTCTCTTCAGCGCCCTCTACTGACAAACTTTACCTGATGCTGTAAGCAAAGGAAAATATATACTAAGTCTCCAAGAGTAGGAAGTAGAGAGTGGGTTGGAATTGAAAGCTTGGAAATAGAGTTTATGCTGAAATTGATGCTGTGGTTCTGTATTCTGTTTGGACCCAGTCCTGAAACAACTTTGCAAAAGAACAAAGTTGGGAGCTATGGTAAAGCCACTTATGCCAATCCTGGTCATCCGAGCCCCATCTCCCAGGAAACCGTGTGGTGAAAGAACAGAAGCAACTCCTGAAAGTTGTCCTCTGACCACCACGTCTTAGGGGCTCCATGCTCCATAGTTCACGCACGTGCGCACGCGCACACACACGATTAATAATTGATTAATTAAACCTTTTAAAAGATCTTAAGATTCATAGACATTCTTTAAAATCAAGGAAAAACAAGACCTCATTGCCCATCAAATAGTTAAAGCTAAGATGGATTCTGCTCAGTGATGGTGAGAATGTGGAAATGCTGAGAGATTCACACAGCTGTATTTTCCATATTAGAAAACACTTGGGGAGAAAAAAGAAGAAAGGAAAAGGGAGGAGAGGAAGGAGGAAAAGAAAGAATAAGGAGAGAGAGAGAGAGAGAGAGAGAGAGAGAGAGAGTGTGTCATGGCAGAGAAAGAAACAAAGACAGGTGGGCTGTTTCATTAAAAGAGAAAGGTGCTGGGAAGAGATGGTGCATGCCTTTAAGCCTAGCACTCGGGTTGCAGAGGCAAGTGTATCTCTGTGAGCTCAAGGCCAGCCTGGTTTACAGAGCTGGTGCCTGGACAGGCTCCAAAGCTACACAGAGAAACCCTGTCTCGAAAAACAAACAAAAAGTGAAAGATATCCCCAACACATGACCCAGTGATCCCTCATACCTAGCAAGAAAGAATTAGAGCCACACCCACTCAAGGACCTATTTGCATACATTGATTACATCTTTGTAACAGATGAAGGTGGGAAAGGACTCTCATATGCCTTAGTGGCTGAATTGGTTTATTCTTTCAGAAAATGATATCTCCATTCCTCAAACTAGAGATAAATGGACTACTGATGCATGAATTACAGGGACAAATCTGAAGATAGTTCTTCCAGGGAACACAGTCTGACCCCGCCCCAAGCACACACCTCTTAGATTATATTATAGGAAGAGCAACACAATGCAAAGTGATAGAAGCACATAGCAGGTACCCTGGATCGAGGACTGTAAAACTAGGCCAAAGGGATTACAGAAAGTCAGAAAGACATGTTTGGGGACAATGGAAACATGGGGCTTGGTTATGTATTGATTTTATATCATACAAATGTGTAGAATTTAAAAGTAGCTACACTTTATCATATTCACACCTACATGAAGCCTTGAAAAAAATGATGATTCTTCTAAACTATCATCTTACCATGTTTTAATTTCTATGACTAATTTAGTTGTGACAAAATAGTCAAAATAATGGACTACAGAACTAATAAATTAAGATGTAAGAACTTTACCTTGGAGAACAGAAAAGACACTGATCACACTATTCAAAGAACTGAAGTAAGTCCCAGTGAGGTATAATGATGAAATGCAGGTGGTTATCTCCAAATAAGCAAAAACACAAGACTAAATGGTTCGATTTGTGAAGCCCACCAATATTCTTTGTGCTGGCCTTCCACACTCCAAAATACGTTCAACAAAATAGCCAACCACTCTGGGGCCAGCAAGGTGGCTTAACTGGGAAATGCTCTTGCCTCCAAGATGGATGACCGGACTGAGCTCCAGCCCTAGGCCCCACCTGGTGGAAGGAGAGAACCCACTCCCCCAGGTTGTTCTCTTACTACCCCAGATGCATGCACATGCACGCACATACTGTTCAGTACATTTTAGGCCAGTTTTTTCTTTATGATTTTTTTTTAGTAGAGGGGTACTTGTTACTCCTCAAAACAGATAATCAAAATGATAAATTCAAACTTCTAGTTCTTGAAATTGCCACCCGTTGTAGAAACATATATTTCCTTACAACTAAAACTTTTTAAAAAACGAAAACAATTCTCAAATTCTCAGGTGATTTGGTGGTTGGGAGCATAATTGTAGCTGCTTTGTCTTTAACTCCAGGTGTTTTACACCGGCCTCTTCTATTCCTCCACCGCCAGCATCCCGCACACTGACCCTGTCTCTTCTCTCTCCTCTCATGTGCTTGGTGTTCCAGGTGCATTGTCAAGATTACGGGAGAGATGGTCTTGTCCTTCCCCGCCGGCATCACCAGACACTTTGCCAACAACCCATCCCCAGCCGCTCTGACTTTTCGGGTGATAAATTCCAGCAGGTTAGAGCACGTCCTGCCGAACCCCCAACTTCTCTGCTGGTAAATATGATTCTGCATACAATTTTAAAGAGATGATTAGCTTAGTACCCTGTGTCTGCATAAGGAGAGTTCCATTGCAAGAATAGCGCCGTGACTGATTCCCCCACAGTGCAGATGTGCACGTAGATTTGACACCCAGACAGTTGCTTTGTGTGCTAGCTGTCAAGTTTTCTGTATGTGGTGCTGTGTGCGAATATGTAATTCCGTGTGCATTTGTGTGTTTTAGTGGCCAACTTCTAAAGGGGTTAAAGAGGCATTTAAGGAAAGTCCATATTGGGGACAACGTAGACATGCCTGTTTCACTTGTTATAATAAACAGTAAAGAAGAACAGTAGGTGATGAGCCCAATAATAGAAAATTTTCTTATGATATGAACACCATTTTAAGTGAAATAATATGGGACCTGTGGGCTAGCTATTCTTCCACATAAATTTGCAAACCTTTTCAGTGAGGCCCACAATTTTACTATAATGGCCATTGTTGGCACAGCTCACACCAGGGAAGGGCATGTGGATTTGTTCCCGTAAATGCACACTTTCTCATTTCAAATCTGAAATGATGTCTGTATTAGGCACGGATGTGCATGTGTTGCTGGCTTACGGTGGGGGTGACAAAAGGAGTTGTTCTTGGCCGCTTCTTCTCCATCACAAAAGTGTGGGTATTCTGCCTAGAAGTCTCTCTCTGAAGTGCCCACAGTCTTCCTTTTCAGCATGTTTCCTTGAGTTAGTCCCAACACCATGTCCCCGGACTTTCGCAGTAACAATTGTTTCCCTCCCTGGCTCCAATCTGGCCCTGCTCCAATCTGGCCCGGCTTCAGTACGCATTTACAACCACTGACCTTGAGGAGACTGCTCTTTGCTCACAACTGACCAGTGGCATCACATGACACACGCCCCAGAATCTCAACTTGTCACCGTTGGTTTTGAGCATCTACCCAAATCTATGTGTCTGTTCTCCTCATTAATCCCTACCTATCAAAAACGAGTGAAGTTCTGCCCCACATCAGGGCTTGGCATGAGCGTCGCCACCTTGTAATACTACCTTCCCCTTCTTCCTATGGCTCTCAGCTCCTCTGTCTCCCCTGTTCCTCCCCTCCAGCCGCACTGACCATCTCCATAGGCAGTTATGTCTCATTGTCATTCTCCTGGAAACTCGCCATCCTTTCCATGAAAATTTTTCGATCTATTTGTTTGTTCATTTGCCACCCTGTCCCCATGAGATAGCACCACCCAGAGGGCATGTCACCCGGCTTGTGCTTCATCATGAATGAAGAAGCAGCTGCAATGTAGATCAGGCGAGTGGTCCTTAAACAGACTGCTGACACTAGCTATCAGGGATGCTAAGCTTTTCAGTGAGCCAAGACTCTGCTGTCCCACAATAAGAAACTGTGACTACCACCATAAACTCCAAGGCCATCTTGTTTGTGAATTGAGGTTTTTATTTAGATGCTCTTGGATGCTGACAATGAAGCGTGGTGGTGGTGGCTACATCCTTTTCAGTTAGTTAAGCCAAATCTTGACATTTTTGTTTTGTTTTGTTTTCATTTCTGGATAAGCTCCTTCACTGTGTACCTGACGCTGGCTTTGAACTCGTGATCCTCTTGCCTTGGCCTACTCAAAGCTAGGATTACGTGTGTGCACCTCTGAGTCTTTTAACTGGTTAATTTCTGAAAGTTATTACAAGTCAGTTCAAAGGAAAATCTATTTACTCCCCCTTAATTGCATTGGCTGATTAGGTAGATGTGCTACTGAGTATGGATGAGGAACTAGTTATCACTTCAAAGCAACCAGATGTTATTCGGCTGGGTTAGTAGACAGGAGCTCATGGGACTGTTTGGCAGCAGAGCAGAGCCTCCTTGTGGGAACTGGGAGGCTTACCGGACACCACACCATGCACCGTGTTAAAACCCCCCTTGGGATGCTCTCAAGAGTCCGGATTGTCAAAGGAGATGGAGATATCAGAGACCATCTTCTAAAATGCTTGTACAGAAGATGGTGTCAATGAGATGCTACTTAATCACTGATTTTCCTTCAATCTTCATAGTGATAATACACAAAATGATGCCAACACCAAGGAATTCTGGGTAAACATGCCAAATTTGATGACTCACCTAAAGAAAGTCTCTGAACAAAAACCCCAGGCTACATATTATAATGTGGACATGCTCAAATATCAGGTAAGCCTATGGTACGGTCAGGGTTATCCTACTTCACATTCTAAAGGGCCTACTATTTTATAAAAGCAACATTTTTTTAAAGCAACATTTTTTAATATTATTGAAGTGCTGTAGTTATAAAAACCTTAAGCCTTAAAGAACCATGTGGGGACTAATGAGAATATTAATCAAATACCCATAAATACAAAGTGAGGTGTTTTAGCTTTAAACTATAGAAACATGCCCCCTAAAAAGGAACTTGAAAACACACATGCACACTTAATCAAGATTGTAAGTGTTAGAGCTGGAAAAATATGTCAGAGGTTAAAAGCTGTCGAAAGCACTTATTGCTCTTGCAGAAGACATGGCTTCATTTCCCAGTCCCCAAGTTGCTGCTCACAACTCCGTGGTGGCCCGTAAGTCCAGCTCCAGGGGACCTGAGGCCATGTTTTGGCCTCTGCTGGCTCCTGCATGCATGTGGTGTACGTAAATTCACACATGCACACACATATATACATAAAAATAATAAATAAATCTATTTTAAATATGATAGATTATTAATAAGTTACATCAGCATAATCATGGTCAGATCACAAGTGTTCTAAGACTTTTAATTTGAAGGGATTAGGTATAAATAACCTGGATTTTTTTCTACTGCGACAGCTTCATGAACTAGCTCTAATGAAGCCTTTGCTAGTAAATAATTCAGTGATGAACCCACAGGGTCCAAGCCCTAGCCAGAGAGCTATTAGCAATTGACAGGTGCTGAGGGAGTAAGGAGGTGAATTCTGCACTACAGACCAGGAACTCAAACAGGTATCACCGTCTTAAGAGAATATCTTGCTTCTTAATCACAGTCAAACCGGACCTTTTCTTGTCCTAGCTCGTTCACTACTGACTCTAACCAGACTGCAGACACTGTCGTTCTTCCAAGCAGAGGATCTGGATTCAGGTCCTGATGTTGACAAACCTCAAAGGAATAAGGACAATGTCCAGCATTGTCTGCCTGATTGGTTTGTTGTGAAAAGCAAACATGACATGCATATTAACAGTTAACCTGTTCAGGAGTCACTTTCTAGCTATAAGCTAGACACAGTGCTGTTTTTCCTCGAACCTTCCTGACAACCTAGGAGTCACGCTGTTTGTTATAATCCCCATTTAGCAGGTGAGAAAGTAGCCGAGGTTGAGTGAGGTTACACCTAACTTGTCTAAGACCAATCACCAATCAGTTTGTTAAGTGGCAGGACTAGAACTCACATCCAAGAGTGTCCAGTCTCCTGGCCTCAGCCCTTAACCAATAAGCTGCCTCACCTCCCTAAGGACAGAAAATGCACTGTGAACTCTGAGGTGCTGTAGGGATTTCCACAGCTGACCTTGTATATGTGATTACAACCTTAATAGTTTCCTATTAAGTTAATAGTTTTTTATTAAGCACTTAATAGTTTCCTATTTAAACTATTAAACCTTAATAGTTTCCTATTAAGCACTCCCACCCGGAGCCTGAACTTCATCAGTTTCCCCTGGAACCCTGTAAACAGCACAAATAATACTACAACATGTTTATAAGCCCAGTCCAGTGGGGCCAATCACGGTCTCTGGTTTGGTTTGATTGACAGTTGAAACTCACGCCTTCTCTCTCCTATCCTTTGGAAAGGTGTCTGCCCAGGGCATTCAGTCCACACCTCTGAACTTGGCAGTAAACTGGCGATGTGAGCCTGCGAGTACTGACCTGCGCATAGATTATAAATACAACACGGACGCCATGACCACCGCAGTG